GTGGCAGCTCCGGGCTGAGCCAGCGGGTGTGACAAGACTGTGAGAGATTGAGTGTCTTCCACAGATGAGATGCTGCAGTTCGGGTGTCTCTGCTTTGATTCTGTGGTGGTGAGACGGGAGTCTGCCAGTCCTTCAGGGCAGCTGAATTCCTTTTGGGGAAGGAAAAGCAGGCCTTTGACAAGAGCACTCCCACCAAATCCTTTGAGGGAGTTGAGCAGAATTTCAGAAGCAACCAGCAGCCCCCAAGAGTGATCTCTGTGCCTTGCTGCCTGTAGGGTTCGGCGTTCGGAAGATCTCGCGATGTCACGGAAAGTTAGAGGGTTAGTCGCAGCCTTATGATGTGTCTGTAATCCCACCTACCCTTGTTACTATAAAAGGAATTGACTGCGCAATAAAAGGCGGAAGTTGGCGCTCACACTGTGTGTGTTATCTGTCTCTTTCCCTGGTCTGGGGGGTGATCAGTGATCTAATCGTGGCACCTTGATATGCGGCGAACGCTACACTGCCAGGTGCCAGGTCGGGACATCCAGGAGACTGAGGCAGTCGAGCTGAGAGACAGCTGTTGAGAAGCACTGTCCATGGATGGAGCACAGGAAGCAATCCAGCTGTGGACACAAATCATGGCTGCCTGTGCAGCAGCTGTCCTGGACCTGCCCTGCCTACAGTAATTGAGATGGCTTCTAGAACCCCTCAGGACCCTTGCAGCATGTGCTCACATCTTCACCACAAGAGAGGTGAGGTGCAGATGCACAGATGATTTCCAGTGCTTCCTTTCACACATGCTGTGCTACGGCCCTGATTGAGCTGCAGAAGATTGCATGCAGGACTGACAGGGGGACAAAGATGTCTTTGTTTGAGGTTATTGGTGGGAAATGTTTCTACTGCCTGCAGCCCTGTCCACTGTAGGCATCTAGCTATGTTAGCTGTGCGCAAGTGCAGTTCTTCAGAGCTGTTTTTAGGTGCTGACAAAGTGAATGGTTTTGCTGCCCATTCCCCTTTGCAGTCTAAGACTGGGTGGCTGGGACTGGTGTCAGTACTGGGGTGTCCTCAGTGACTGGGGTGAACTCTGCTCTCTGTCTTCTTTCCTGGGACTTCTCAACTGGTCATCCAACAGCAAGGGCCTGGCTGAGCAACTGCTGCTGACAGCCTGTGTCCACGCAGGTGGTTTGTAGCAAACAGCACCCACACACAACACTTGTCCTGCTGTGTAAAGGGCCTCCAGCAGCCCCAAAGAAAACACTGTTGTTAGTGCTTTCTGTTTGGATCCAACAGCAGAAGTTCGAGCAATGTGCCCTGTAACTCTGCCATCCCACATCCTTATGTGACAGAAATCGGGACAGAGCCAGGCTAGTGTCACCTCTGGACATCTCTTCCCAGCCTGTGCAAATTAATGAAAAGTTAATCACTTTTCATGAAATGAAAGCTATCACCGCAGACAGCAGAGTTTGTTACGGAGGGGAGCCTGACAGCAGCACAATCCAACACCACCATTGGCCCACTACTAGCCAGAAACCCGTGCAGCACTGCAACCTGTGGCAAGCCGCTGGGAAGAGCAGAGCTGGCACCTGTTGTGGCTGCTCTGCATTGCAGGAGCTACGTCGGTGTGGCCACATTCACGGTGTCTGTGCTGCTATGGATAAAGCACCTGTCACCTAGCTGGGGGCGGCTCCCAGGGAGCAGGGTCCTACAGGGAGCTGCTGCAGAAGCGGATGAGATGAGATGGAAGGAAAACAGCTTTCTGCTTGGTGGTAACGCCTTGCAACCTTAGGAAGGGCGTGAGCTGTTGGCAGACACCGTATCCTCAAGTAGATTTAGTTCAAGGCTATGTTATACTGGCACACAGCCTAGGACATCTGCACTGAAGAGGAGGTGTTGCAGCAAACACTGTACTCTGCTTCATCCCAGTCCGCTGAGGACAAGGGGCCTGATGTGCCCACGGTAGGTTTGGATGGAGCCGTGTGGAAGAAGCTGCTAATTAGTTATACCCAATTAGCATCATACTTAACAAGAACTTCCCTAGTTCCCACCTCTCCTGCTGTAATTATTTCCAGTCCTGCGAAGTTCAAAATCACTGACGGTGCCACATGTATGGGGGCGGGTGACATGGAGGGGTAGGGTGGAAGGTGGGCCCACGCAACACCCACCAGCTTCAGGGACTGATTTAAAACACCATTGTGATACTGGAAATCTTTTCAGAGTCTGTGGCATCAGCATTCCCCCTCAATGTGCAAGAGCTTTTAGCACATTGAAAAATGTTAAATTATCGGAAGATGAAGCAAAAAATATCAGTTGGTTTTAATTTCCTTTTGCAACTTTTCCTCCCTGCAAAATGCTGCCATAAACAATACTTTCGTGCTAACAGAATCACTTCATAAAAGAAAAAATAACGGTATAATTTTCAGCAGGGGCTGTGATGTTGGGCTGAGCACTATTTTTTCCCAAGGGACCTTGAAATTTTATTTTACTTACCTTGAATTTTGCCTCAAGTCACAAAGCCTCCTACCAGCTTGACACCACAACATGCCAAGGAGGTTCCACATTACAAAAATTAAGCTTAAAACCAGAGCAGTTACTGATCTATCAGCTGGAATCTCAAAGCCAGACTTTGTACTTGGCAGGAAGCCATCAGTTAATAACGAGAATAAATGGGGACTTTGTCTCAATGGTAGTGGACCATGCACCTAAAGCAAGCATCTGGCTGCGGCAGGACAGGGGACCCCTCACCCCAAACACGCTTGCCACAGTTAGTGATATCTCCTCTTCCACTGACTAACCTGGGGTACTGTTTTCCTCTCTGGAGAGCTCCTGAGGGTGATCAGAAAGCACACAGGGGTATTCTCATGATTTAGCACACCAGTGTGGCCTGCAGCCTCTCACCAAACTCCAGGAAAGGGGTTAAATTACCTCAGAGGTCATTAAATTACTTCAGTACCACCACTATGGCCCTAGCATGGGAAAATGGTTTGTCTTCTTGCACCTGGCACGTCCCTAGCCCAGACAGAGCTAATGTTCTGTAGAGGAGCTCTTAGCACTGAGAAATGGCTGGAGAAGGCGCAGCTTTGGCTCAGGCCACCTAAGTGAGCTCTTAAATGGGAAGAGAGCCAGCCCCATGTCTTGTGCCTGTGATGGTGGCAGGAGGCTGCCCAGCCTACAAGCTGGAGGAGAAACAGCATTGTGGCATAGCTCCTGCTACAGGGCATTGCTGCTTCCTGCTCATGGGCAATGCCTTGTCCCTTAGCTCTCTCCTTCACCATGCATGAGTAACTCAAGCTTGGGATAAACATTAACCCAACAGGGAAACAACGCCCCTGGGAATGCCTCTTTCTGGGGCAGTGTGCCAGGATACAGGAGTGGATCAAATGTCTTTGCTGTGCACTAGTGCTTTTGCATGCAAGGGCTTAGCTGCAGCATGTACAGGTAATGGTTGTTCAGACCAAAGATCCTTGCAGCCCAATACCACCCAGGGCCAAAAAGCAGTAAAGAAGGGAAGCCTCCCGGCCTCTACCTGTTTGCAGGTCAGGGACTCACTGAGCCAGCAGTGGCTTTTTGTGTGTTTGGCCACCCTTCACCAATTTGTCCTCTCAAAACCACATAAACTCTTGGTGGCCCCAAAGTCCTGCAACAAGGTGATCTACAATTGCACATTAGGGAGGGCACGGATCAAAACCATCCTTTTTACAATTGGACCTGGTATCCCAAGGTTTAGTTTAATGCAGAGACAGAAGGCTTAATTTAACAAGTAATGTTATGCATACAGCAAAGCTCAGCAAAAGCTGACTCTGGGGTGGAAAGACACCAGTTTTATCCACAGGTGTCAGCACAAGCAGAGGGAGCTACTGGGCTGCGTAACCAGGTCAAACTGTTTTCCAACCACAACAGTTGGCGTGGCAGCACAAATTACCCTTGTGCACTTCATGCAGGGGTAACCTCTGTTCAAAGGACCCCCGGCACTAACTGATACTCACTGCAGGTCTTGCAGAGGCCTGAGGCCTTGCATAGGGCTAAGCCAGCCTCTGGGCCCAGCTTGCATTTTGTCACACGAGTTCAGTGCTTTTCAGTAGCCCTAAAGCTTGTGGAGCAGAAGGGAAGTAGAGTAGGGCCCATGAGGACATGCTAGCTTGGCTCCAAGGTGCAGGCCTGCACAGGCCTTGCAGATATTCCTGCATCTACCACATTTTAGTAAAGAACAACCACAAGTAGCTGGTTGGCCGTATGACCACAGGAAATGGCCCTCAGCAAATACACGTGCGGAGCAAAACCAAGAGCTGCTGAAGACACAACAGAAGAGAAACTTCTAACAACCCTGAGATGTCCTCCCCTTCTGATTTCAATTAAAAATTATTTGCAGAATTTCCCATCATAGACAACAGCTTGGTCGTTATGCCTTCTTCACAAAAGTTTATTTTTTAACGGGTCATTATATATCACATAGACCAATGTTTGTTTATATACTGTAGGCATACATCAGGCTATGGTTTGGTCTAATAAGGCATGTTTCAAATGCCTTTTTTAAAAATCAAAAAGGCAGGATGGAAAAAAAGATTTTTATGCTGTTGCAAAAGGCTCTAGAAAAAATACAGTTGTAAGTATACTTCTAATTTCCATGGTCTTGATTTAAAAGATAATGCCTTTCAAAAGTCCATTAACAGTAGCAAAAATCTGTATTTGTGTGCACCCATGCACATAACAGTATGAGTAAATTAGATTAGCAGTATCATCTGTAAAGAAAAACCTTCTGCCTTTTGAGCTTCTCTAGCTAGGTGGCATCATTTTAAAACCAGTGCATTTTTTGGAGATATTGTGGCACGACTCCAGTAACATTTTCTTCTCGTCCCACACTTTCAATGTGTGCAGCTCTCAGTGACATGCTTGGGATCTACCTCACTCTTGCCCATCTATCACTCTTCCCAAAACCTCATTTCTACTTTAATTACTTCCATACTGTGTGGTTGGCATCCACAGCTCTCTCCCAACACAGAATTTTACAATTCTTTGAAACTGGCTGATTTGTCCAGTTGTGCCTAAGGCAGAGCTGAGGCAGACCACGTGTCTCAGGCGAATAGAGGCTGGTGCCTCTTCCACTAGAGTCTGTGATCTTGGGCTATGGCTCACCTGGCTCAGAACAGTATGGGCTATGAATGCTTCTTTTCCCTTCCTCTGCAAGCACTGACAACTTTATACCACAAGAGGTTTAAAGGAGGTGTCATCCACTGGACAGGCTTGGGCTCAAGGTCAGTCTAAAAAAAGTAGAGCAGAGCCCCCTTACAGCAGGTCTGCTGCATGCTGTCAGTGCCAGCCAGTGTCAGTGCAGGCACACCTGGAATAAAGCACCACTCAGCCAGAAAGCGGAGCAGCAGGATCTGGCACCACGTTGGGGTAAAGAAGCTGTATTTTATCTGAAGCACTTGACTCGTCCTGGGTCTGCGGAGGACTGAGCTGCATAGGCAGGGCATCCAGTCCAGTGGATGGGCAAGCCTGGGAGACAGGTAGAAGGCTATCAGACGCCAACTGCAGAGGTAGGCAGGGAATCTCTCTGTGCTAGACCCATGGAGGCCAGCTCCTTGGTTCAGGGGAAACTGATGTTTTTTCTAAAGACTATCAAGCCGTCTCTTGTGACCTAGCCCAAGTGGTTTGCACATTCACTCCCAGACTGCCATATTCCATGGGTCAAACACCTTCAATATTGGAAATTCCTACAGAAAAGACCTCCTCCCTCCCATTACGAATGGCAGCCAGAGACAGGGATATCAACGTAGAAACCTGGCACAGAAGAGGCATAACTGTGAGGCAGAGAGAGATGGCCACACACTCACCCTGCCCGAGTGTGAGGCGATCAGAAGACCCAGGTGTCCCCAGCAGTCAACATCTCCGTAAAACTTGGCTCTGCCTGCAGCCAGGCTGCACTTGGTTTCACACTGAGGTGAAAGCTCCTCTATGGAGCAAACTCACCTCTGGAAGGCACAGTGCTGACAGGGTCAGGCCAACTCATAGATGGCTTGGCTCAAAGCTAAACAAAGAGCAAAAGTAACTCCCAGCATTTCCCAGCCAGGCAGGGAGACACACCTTGTGCTCCCATGGACTTCCACAGGAACCAAAACAAACTGGAGAGGCAACTCCTCTCTCCCACAACCCATTTCATTTGTCCCAGCCTGAGTCCGATGGGAAGATGTCGTCCAGCTCCCAGGACTTCCTCAGGCCCAACACTCATCTGGAGACAGTGTCATGACTCAGTTACTGCAACATTAAACACACACTCTCCTGGCAGGCTAGCCACTGAAGGCACCATGCCTTCAAAGAGCCAGTTTCCTTCCTGACCAATTCAGAAGCTTTAGGTACTAACGAGGGAGTGTTCTCGGTTCATTATTTCCAGTGCTTTTACTTGTACATAAAGATCTCTTTCATGCCTCCATCAGAAAAGATAGAAGAGCCCTGCCTGGCTGGGTCTTTTGCACCACGTCAACTTCTGTCATGGTACCACAACTGGTATTTCCCATGGACCTTCAGCTGTAATCCTGAACTGCACAGGACAGGGTGGGCTGAATGGGGAGAAGTACAGAAGAAGATAAAACTCCTTTGACACCTTCTAATCCATTACAAAGTCTGGCTTCATCCCCAAATGGTCGTATACCGACAGTCTCGCTTCCTATGGCAGATGAACTCCTGCTGTGACCACCTTTCCCCCTCTGCTCCATCTCTTACAGACAGTTGCTACTGAAGACCTTCTGCAAGGCGTGAGGGAAGTGATGAGGAACTCTTTTTTTGTTAAATCTCTTCTTCCTCTTCACTAAAACCTCCTTCAGGTCCTGAGGCCCCTGCTCTGCTCTCTCTTTTACATAGGCTGCCTTGATCTGTTCCAGCTCGCACAGCTCTGCCTCCAGCTCTTCTCTGTGCATTGACCGCCGGTTCCTCAGCACTTTCATGGGGAAGGGGTTTAAGTCGTTGAAGGCGATGTTCATCAGCTTCCTGCGATGGAAAAGATAGGTCTGGTGAACCAATTTACTGGCTGTAACAGGTGGTAACAGATACGCCAAGTGCATCCTGGCATTGGCAAAGAGTAGAGCCTCAGATTTCAGCTCTCTGAGCTCATAAGTCACCAAGCAGCAGAGTCTTCAAGGAATCACAGGCAATTCCTTCTCACACAAACACCAACACAAGCAACGCTTTAAACAGCCTTACACCACCCCACCTTTTAAGGTACCGGTGGCAGGAGATGGCAGATCAGATGCTAATTCTGATTGCCCCTGGGGTAGTGTCCTGGTTTCAACTGGGGTAGAGCTAATTTTCTTCCTAGTAACGGGTAGTGTGTTTTGGATTTAGTGAGAATAATGTTGATAATACACTGATGTTCTAGCTATTGCTAAGTAGTGCTGATCCTAAGTTAAGGGGTTTTCAGTTTCCCATGCTCCATGAGCAAGCAGTAGTACAAAAAGCTGGGAGGGAGCACAGCCAGGACGGCTGACTTGAACTAGCCAAAGGGATATTCCATATCATAGGACATCATGTCCAGTATATAAACTGGGGGGAGTTAACCCGGAGGGGTGGATCACTGCTCAGGCATCAGTCAGCAGGTGGTGAGCAACTGCACTTATCTTTTCTTGTTTTCTTTTGGGGCTGGTTTTTTTTTATATTCATTTTCATTACTATTATTGTTATTGTTTTATTGTTGTTGTTAGTATTATATTTTATTTTCCCTTAGTTATTAAATTACTCTTATCTCAACCCACAGGTTGTGCTTTTTCTCAATTCTCTCCCTCATCCCACTGGGAGTGAGTGAGCAGCTGTGTGGTGCTTAGTTGCTGGCTGGGGTTAAACCATGACAGGAATATTCCTGACGCTGAGCTCTTATGATCACAGAAACCTTCCTCCCTGACTCATGTTGCCATTAAAGGTTGTGAGTGGTGCTGTGTTTCCAAATACCCCAACTACAGCTTGAGAGAAACCCAGCAAGTGGCAGCACAATTTCCAGCTGCTGCAAAAAGCAGGCTGGCCCAGACTTTGTAGCCTGCTCTGCTGTAACATGCCTTTGCCTGAGCCAAAAAGACTTTAAGTAACACCTCAAAGGGCAAGCCAAAAAGAGACAAACTGATCCATGTCCCATGGATCTGCCAGTGTGCATGCATCTCTCTTAATAGACTGGTCACAACTCTTTTTTATGCTGACCTAACAGGCAAGCAAGAACAAACTCAGGATGGAAGGTTATCTACAACCCACAGTCCTACCTGCCATCCATGATCATTCTCGTGAAAAAGCGTAGGTACTGGTAGATCTCCACACTGTCATGAATTCTTAGGATTTCCTCCTCATTGTATTTAAAAATTGCAAGAGCATAACGGAAAATCACCTGGAGGGTTGAAAGGTATTTGAGTTGACATAGTCTTAGGCAGCTGAGGGACCAGGCCCTCCTGGTGTAAAACATGGGGTGGGGCACACAGCACTGGCAGTATAAGCTGGGCACTGGGCTTCTCCTGGTTGCAAGAGGCTGCATTAAGGCACGCCTAAAGAAGCACAGTGCTAATGCCAAGAGAATGACTCTCTGTAAGCTAATTTAAAACCCCAGAGCATACCAGGTCCTCCAAAAGGACCCCATAGGGATTTCACAAGGGTTCTCCAGTTCTCCCCATGCACATGGGCAATGCAGCACTTATGTTCTGAGATACTAACTCTCTGCCCATCTTCAGTTCCCTGTATCTGTCATACTCTCAGCTGTCCGGGTCACACAGAGCAGAAGACACCACAGCCTTTCAGAGAGCTGTTTCAGAGCAAGACTACCTGCTAAACAGTGCCAGGGATACTGTGCACAGTATCATGGACTTAGGTTTGCCTACCAGCAGCAAGTACACAGACAACACAGAGGCTGGAAGGCATCAAGGCACCCCACCAAACAGGCAGGATAGGACAAGAAGCACAATCCCACATCTCTTTGACACATGTGTATGTCCATCACCCTGCCATCATGTCACAGAGGTGGTGCAGATGGGAGGAAGGCCTAGACAGAGAGTTGCACCTTAGTTCCCTCGTACAAGAAGGCATCCCACACTCGCAGGAGGATGTCGCTGACCAGGCTGTCCACAAAGGCCACCAGAAACCAATTGAAGGTGATGAGTGAGACATCAATCCGATACTGCTCAAAATGAGCCATGAGGCGAGGCAGCTTCTCTGACAGGAAGTCTTTGAAGACTCTCTGATCTACCTAAAGTTGACAAAAAAAGAAAACAATGAAGCCCTAGTCAAGAGCAGTCCTGGTGGTGGAAGAGAGGAATGGGACAGTGGCCCATGCATGGTATGGTAATCACTGGTGCCACCTTCTAGCCTAACAACACCCTCAGAAGAGCAGAGCATCCTTTTCCTTCCAACCCTTCAAAATTACTGAGCAGTGTACTTGTACACTGTACCCAGCGCAAGGTGTGGAGCTGAAACAGGCCCAACATACAAGCAGAGATACATACATTCTTCTCACTCAGAGGATCATATTCCTTCCCAACCTCAATGTCTGGAGGGAAGGTGATGCCACATCTTCCCACATCGGTCTTACTGGGATTTTCTGTGAAGTCATGAGCATCCAACTGAATGACAGGGATTAAAACCTGCCCAGGTCTGAATGACTGCACACGGCCCAACAGAATGAACACCTAGAATCCCTCTGACCAAGCAGGACCTGATCTTGTCACTTAGCTTCTCTTCGTGGTCTGATTACTTTCTGTGCTCCGCTTTTGGTTGCATGAGCCAAGACACAGAAATGCAGTTGGTGAGATCCCTGACCCAGGTTTATAAAGGCATCATCTCAGGGAAGCCGTGGTTTCAAGAGAGGAAGTGCTAAGGAGCAAGATCATAGTTAGGTCTTCCCCTACGCCATACCATACTACTGCCCCAGCTGTGTCAGCCCACTTAGCTACGGCACAGTGGTACAAACCAAACAAGGCAATATGCATGGTCTTTAAAATCTGCAATAGCTAAACCTTAAGTTTTCCAGCCAATTCAGAGCTTTCACTTTATCAAGCCAACCCACAAAGCATCACCCTAGACCTTCCTCTTTATATGGGTCTTGGGTAGACTTTCAAAGACCAACCATGAGGTCAGGAAGTCTTTCTAAAAAAGGTTCCCTCAGCTGACAGTCTTTTGTCACCAAATGTAGGGGACCCTCTGTGTCTTCAGTCTGCCATGTTTTCCCTGTCAATCACTATTTGTCAAGTATTGAGCACTGCCTATTAAATCTCACAGCTGACAGTACCTCCTGCTCTGGACAGACATTTTGCTATGCATATTGCAGCTATCTGCTGCTTCCCCAGTCCATGGGTTGGCCTCTCCACCAGCACACCACTGTCCCAGTAAACATTAGTGTACTGGCCCTGACTGAGATGGAGTTAATTCTCCCCATAGCAGCCCTCATAGTGCTGTGCCCTGCATTGGTAGCTGCTTCACCTCTACTAGGCCCTCTATCCTGGTTTCAGCTGGGATAGAGTTAATTTTCCTTCTAGTAGCTGGTATGGTGTTGTGTTTTGGATTCAGTATGAGAAGAATGTTGATAACACACGGATGTTTTCAGTTGTTGCCAGGTAGTGTTTAGACTAAGTGAAGGATTTTTCAGCTTCTCACGGCCAGCCAGCGAGAAGGCTGGAGGGGCGCGAGAAGGCTGGAGGGGCACAAGAAGTTGGGAGGGGACACAGCCAGGACACCTGACCCAAACTGGCCAAAGAGGTATTCCATACCATGTGATGTCATGCCCAGTGTATAAACTGGGGGGAGTCAGCTTGGGGGAGTGGATTGTTGCTCAGGAACTAACTGGGCATTGGTTGGCGAGTGGTGAGCAATTGCATTGTGCATCACTTGTTTCGTAAACTCCAATCATTTTACTATTATTGTCATTTTATTATTGTTATTATTATCATTATTAGTTTCTTCCTTTCTGGTCTATTAAACTGTTCTTATCAACCCACATCAACCCACAAGTTTTACTTGCTTTTTCCTGATTCTCTCCTCTATCCCACTGGGTGGGGGAAGTGAGTGAGCAGCTGAGTGGTGTTTAGTTACCAGCTGGGGTTAAACCACTACACCCTCCTTAAAATAAGTAACTGCGCAATTAACGGGCACCTTCCTTCTGACTAACCTGACCTTCAAGTGATTACTCAGGAATGGTTCCCAACTTCCTAGTGCTGGGGATCAATTTTGCTGCTCCTGTGTGTGCAACAATTTTGTACTCTCAAGTCTACAACACCTCTGCAATGGAAGGGATTGCAAGATGGTATCACTGTCCTGTGAGAAATCAAACACACTGCAAGCTGACTGCTTGCTTTTAAACCTTTACTGTAAATCACTGTATCAGAGTCCAAGCAGATGTGAGGGTGCCCAGCTCACCTGTGATGTTATCAGTGTGTCACTGTAATAGTCTGCTGGCATTAGGTTCTCCACAATATGGACTAGGCACCAGAAAGCACTTTCCTCATCTTCCAGGACCAGGAGGGCAACAGCTGCCAATCTGTGAAGGACAAGACACAGTGAGGCAATGCAAAACTACAGGAGGAGACATAGGCCAGCACAGGAACCAGAGAATCCAAGATTCCTCTTGGTGTGTCTCTAGCTCCAGGAGTGTCCAAAATATCAAACATGGCAAGGCAGTTAGTCAGAGAGGCAAATTATCTGTTCTCTGGGTTTTTGAAGGAACCATGGGACTGTGATTTTCTTTCCCATGTGCCTCTGTCAGCAAACAGGAAGAAACCCCCTTCAGCTCTGATTCACTCCTTTTCAGCCAAACTGGAAAGATGATATCTAATGTCAAGGACTTCCCAGAGTGGAAGATGTCCTTCTGAAGACCATTCAAAGAACAACAGGAATAGCTTACACAGGCTCTCCTCATGTGAAAAGGTCCACCCAGAAATTCCCTTCTTGCAGTTAGGACCTGGTGCCTCTTTTACTTTGCAGCACTTTTTTAAGAAGTCTGGTTTTATCTTTGCTACAGCCTTCTTTGGGAAATGAAAGAAGCTTTTAGATTCCCTGAAGCTTCTCTGCTCCAGACAGAACAACCCCAGTTTCCTCAGCCTCTCCTCACGTCATTTGCTGTAACTCCCTTATCTCTAGCACTTCCCAACATTTCCTCCAACTCTTCTCAGCAAAAAGGGGAATCACCAGGGTGTTCTTCTGCTAAGCACATTAAGACTTAGCAATTCAGCCCAGCCTCATGCTGTTATTCAGAGACTGCCTCACTCTACCTCCTATAGCTGCTCCTTCCTATTCTGTAACTATGGAAATGCCGAATAAGTACATCCTGCTGCTTGCTTGATCCCAGCAACAATACTGGGTGAAAAAAGACACCAAATGCAGAATTCTGCAGGGAAATACCTAGAGCCAGAACAGAACTTTAGAGAGGCAGGAGCCCGGGGTTGCCTGAGTCACAGCCTAAAGTATGTGTCTACACCTTCTCAGTGCTATCCCATGAAGAAGCACCATACCTGGCTCCTCACCTGTTCAGTCCCTGGCAGTATCCAATGGCAGGATTGTGCCAGGAGAATGCCAGCAACACTCTCCGGAGCTTGGGGATGAGCTGGGAGGTAGGAGAGGAAAAATGTTTGTTGTTGGTCAGTGTGCGGGGCAGGTCAAGCTCAATCTGCCGGCAGGCAGGGTGCTCAGTGCTCTTGCTCTGCCGTAACAGCCGCTGGTAGTGGTCAGGCAGACGGCTGCAGTGCCGGCTGACAATCCACCTCCAGACCCGTTGCCGATGCTCCACTGGAATGCCACTTCGGATCAGGCTTTTCAGCTCTGCAGAGGGGCTCAGCTCTCCAACGCTGTTCCACCTGTCACGGAGGGGCTTCTCCACTACTTCCTGGCTCCGCAGGTTGTTTGACTTTATCTCCAGGGCTTGGATTTTGGCCAGAAGTTTCCAGTCCTCAACTTCATAGTCAGGTACAGTCATAAATCCATACTCATCATACTCACTGGAAGGACACAAGGCAGAGGTTAGTTCAAAGGACAGTGCTGGTACCTGCAACAATGGCCACTCACTGCTTGGGGCCATGCCAGCTACAGCCTGCTGCCAAGTTCCTGTCACCCATGCCAGAACACAGGTACTCCTCCTTCACTTCTCTTGCAGCTGCATGTGAGAGCCTGCCATGCCCACTGTCTCAAAGCCTTGAGAACAAATGAGAGCCTGCAGCAACAGCATACACACACAAACTCAAGTGTAACTTTGCTCTGAGCTACAGCCCAACCTCATCAGACCTCTCTCACCTCGCCTGGTCCCCTGCCCCTAAGGGAGTATCTAGCTCAGCCTGTGTACCTTCTCCCTGCCATGTCCTAGCACAGAGACAGTTCTGTAGAAAGGGACTGCAAAGGCTCTGGGGCATCAGACCAAAGAACAGAGATCCACAGTACCTTCTGGTGTCTCCCTGTACACAATGCAAATCACCTACTGATCAGAAAACACCAGGAGCACTGATAATACAGCTCGTTGAGGGTTTTTGTATCATCAGTCCACATGCTGGGATACTTGTAAGATATTATTGCATTCTTGACAGAGAGACCAAGCCTGGCCTGGGGGTCTTATCTCCAAAGCTACCTGGAGGACCTGTGAGTCTGACCAGCCAGATGAAATAGAAACTAATATAGAACTGGGGCATTAACTGGGCAGGAAAGTATAAACATAAATGCAAGCACACCAGCAGCGCTGGTGGCAAGGCTCTCTGGAGGTCTCCAGTCCAGCCTCCCTTCACTGCAGGATTGTCCCCAGCATTAGAACAGGGCAACAGTGGCTTTGTATGGCTGGGACTAGAAAACCCCAAAGGATGGAGATCCCTCACCTTCCAGGTGGCCTCCTCTCCTACAGAAGTTTATCCTTATGTCCAATATTTACCTCCCAGGCATACCATGGCTGTTGTCACTTGCCATACTGTCTGCCACTGCCAAGAAAAGTTTAGCTGTACCATCTTTAATTCCCCTTTCTACAGTGTTATGCTGCTATCAGATACTTGTGGTCTCCACACCACCAAACTAAACGAACTTCCTCAACCTCCACTCCTAGGTCATGGCTCCAAGTCCCTGCTACAGAAATGTCCCTGGACCTTTCTTGCCTGCTTATTCCCCTCCACGGCCAGACTCCTACAAGGGTGTGAATATCACCGTGCTCTTGCCTCTTACCTTACAGGGTTCAGGTTAAAACCTTCTTCTGCTTCTTCCTTCACATCCCACTGGAGTGCTTCCTGGATGAGGTTCCTCACCAACTCAGCATGGGAGCTGGGCAGGCCAGGCACAGCTTCCTGCAGCTTCCGCAAGACTGTCAGGTATTTGCTCTCCATCTGGCAGTTTCGTGCTTGCAGGCAGGCACACTAATGGAGAAACAAGAGGGAATGAGCTGTCTCATTGATGGTTCTTCCTGCATTGCCACTGCTCTCTACTGGTCTGGTTTGCACGTAAAGTGAAGACTCCTGAACAGCAAAGCACCAGAAAACACAGCCAGCAGTTTTCTACAGCCAGCAGAACTGCAGCTATGAATGAATTACCATGTTCTACGAATAAGCACAAGCTGCAGTAGCTAGCATGTAACAGAATTTGCTTATGGAGTGGGAGACCTACTACACCATCACCTACTTCAGCTACTGCATTACATCAGCGGATGGTCATATCCCAGCCAGCTCGGCTCAGGACACAACCAAAGAGCCACCACTGCAGCTAAGTTCTCTGCAGGCTTTTTCCCTACTCCCCAGACAAGTTCTCTACCCCACATTGAGCTGTATCCTGATAAAACACCTCTCCTGGGACTGAACTATGACTGTACCATTTTCAGGATACACAGTAGCACCACAGACAAGGTGAACACATGCCCCTCAGTGACCTCAGTCCCATGGCACTGGTACACAATGTTTCTCAAGCATATGAAGCCCAACTGAGTTCAAACAGCAGGACAGTCCTTGCCACCACCATACTCTGGGGCACACAAAGCAGAAAAAAGGAATGAAGACTGTTATTCCCCACTCCATAAGTGGGGAACTGAGGCCACACAGGTGACAAGACTCATCCAATATCTCACAGGAAGCTTAATGAAGACTCCTGGTCAGTGGGAAGTGGCAGTTGAAAACAAAAACGAAACAGAAACCACAGAGAGAATTAGGCTGCCTATAGAGGTGGCAGAAAGGAGAGTGGGGTACTGTCATACTGCCACTTTAATCAGCATTTTGCCTCCCATTGGGCGTGTTGGTCTGATCACCTCCTTTCTGAACGTTACAAAAGTTTCAAGATCAGAGAAGGGCAGTAAGTTAGGAGGTAGGCAGGGTTTCAAATGACTAGAAAGCAAACAGATGTAAGAAAGGCAATAACACTTCAGAAGCAGCTTTTTGCCCTGTTCCAGAATTCAAGACTGTGAAGACATACCTTAAAACACAGGGAAGTAAAACCCAGGGAAAACCCACAGAACAAATGCCAGCACACACCTGGGGAAGTGGTTCAGGACCAGAAGGTAGGATTAGACAAGTCTGAGAGTAATCAGGTTATGCACACTTACAAGGCTAGAAATAAAAACAGAGCTTAAGAAAACGTAAGAACTCTGATCTAGCTGCAGGACCTGAGAGTGCTGCCACCTGGCAGTGCCAAGCCTGGTAGAGAAATCAAAACTAGATGGAGCCACAGTTTAGTCAGTCTGCCAGGTCTCAAGAAAATTTTCTGATTCCCTCCACATAGTGTTGGGTTTTTATTTGTATCCAAAAGCATAGCTGAAATGCAGAATTCTGGGTTAAGTTTCAGCATCCTTAAGACCGAGCTTTGCAGGCATTTTACTTTTACTGAAGAATGAAAATGATCATGTCTAATTTAGGAACAACACAAAGCAGAAAAAAAAGTCACACTAAAAACACACATCAGGAAGAAAGCTTATTCCTGGTGTGTTTTGGACCAAAATCCATTCCAGTGCCAACTTTGGAAAGAAATTAGTAACAGCTCTCACCAAGGGAAAAAAAAGTCATTTTGCCTTACCTTCATCAGAAGGGCTTTTTCATTCTCAGCAACACTTGTCCAGAGTCGAGTAACCTGGTGGATCTCCGAGTTGAGAAATTGGTTCTGGGTTTTGTATGCATCAATATCATCCTGCCACAAAGCAAAACAGTAACACAAGGAGAGTTCCTGAGGAGCTTGGAATCCACGCCCCGTTCAGGGACCTCAGATGTGGATTGTGTTAAGGACAAGAAAATATGTCAACAATTTTGTGTTCTGGGGAGAAGACAGGACTTCCCAGGACAAATACTGCCTACAAAGGAAATCAAGGCACAACATTAAATCGGAGTGTCATGCATAGACAAGACACTTGAAAATGCTAAGTGCACTGCATGTACATGCTTACAAAACACAGAGACATCCAGGTGATATAAAGCTAGAGAAGCACCTAAACAAGATGAAGAATATATGTGTTCTGTTCTATTTTTTTGAAAACTGACACAAATCTCAGCCCCATGGCTGGCCACAAAAACAAACAGTCTCCCACAATGCAATAAGTGGCTCTTTTGGCAATTCTCCACCCCACACTAACTGGTCGTTATAACTGTGTATATAGTGACATACAACAGGCTGGATCTGAAAGAACCAGGATGTATTGGGAAACTGTTGGCAAGAGGGAAACACAGAGGAACAAAGCTAGTGATGGCAGCAAGTGAGTCTGCAGCTGTGAAACAAAAGAAGACCAAAGAAAGATGGAGGCATTGAATGGTGACAGGAAGACAAACAGAACAGGCTCTGAGCTGAAGCTGAAACTGACCCAGATGCTTTTGAGCACCCTATTGGTATCAGGTGAGCCCCTTCCAGCCTGCCTCTGGTTTGGAGACAGAGGGAGCAACTAGCAGAAGTATATTCTGTGGTTCCAACAAGGAACGCCCTCCCACTGAACCAGAGGGCACAGAAATAGGAGCCCCCAAATGACCTGTGCTGTCTCACACACCTTCAGGTGCTCAATCTCCTCCTGCTGCTTATACAATGTCTCTGCAGTGATAGTGTTGGCTTCTTTCAGGGGGTCAGACAGCTCTCGGGCCATCTGCTCTGTCAAGGTCATGATGACTTCCTGTTTGGCATGGTTCTTCTCCATCAGAAGCTGCACGTGCTCCTTGAGTTCCTGGATGTGGCTGTCTCTCAAAGTCAATATCTGCTCCAGTTCATTCTTTTCTTGCTCAAGAGCTTCCAGTCGACTGGTTAGATCTGCGATTTGTCTCACTTTGTGGCGCACCAGCTCCAGCCTGTCCTTATCTTCAGCTGCAGTGAGATACATGCTAGATACTCGCTTCTCCTGCTGTGCTGCCTCTAGCGCTTTATGGAGAAGTTTAACCAGCTCCTGGAAAGGGAATACAAAGCCATTACATCACAGTGCTGCCCAGGGCAATGGCAGTATGGACAGCACAGACCCAACCAGTAATGAGTGAATAGTGAAGGGTCCTCAGGATCTTGAAACTGACTCATTTCAGAAGCAAAACTGCATGCAGCAATCTTGAAATCACAATGTTTCCCCAGTAGAGAAGCTCTGTTCTCAGAGCTGGGCCTCAAAGGCCTCTGCAGCATACCACAGGTTACTTGACTTTAGGTGGATTGCTAACAGACAAGCTGCTGCTCACACTGTCTGAATTCTGATTTTCTAGTCATCCTTCTTGGGAGACCCAGCAGAGACCAGAGAAGCTGGAGATCTGGTCAGCAGTGTGGTAAAATAGGAGGGATGGAAATAATGCAGTCTGCATCCATCTGTGCTACAAGAAGGAAACTCCCTCTGCCAGAGTCCTCCCTTACTCCATCCCACATGAAGGCACAAAAGCTTGTCGCAGCAACGTGTTGCTGATCCAGGCTCTGCCACCTCAGCCATTTAAGGAAGCAAACCAAGCATGCAACTGATTGCCCACCATGGGACCTGGCTCTCCTGCCTCTTCTGCTGGAAGAGCTACCAGCATCATTCGGGGAGAGTCTGGCATTGCTCCATGCTTGTGAAGAAAAACGGTACCTTCAGGAGAGGCAGCCCTTGCAGTGAGCCATGTGCTGACTTCTACAGTCAAATCACCTCTTAATGGTGGATCGCTGTTCAAAAAGCATGACCTGCTGCTAACAGCATGACTCAGCCTGGCAGTTCCTGCCAGTGTCACAGTACATGTTGAGAACTGTACTTTACACATTCACTCAGCAATAGAGATGGACCAGAAAGACACCTGAAGAGCGCACTTGGATTTGTTTTACCTCCCATTTCCAGCCCTTCTGCTAGCTGCACTTCCTAGCACTGGGCACATTCTCTCTTGCACTGGGCACAATCAAGCACATAAAAAGGGGTAACACCAGCAGCTTCAACTGGTCCCCAGTGAGTACCTGCTGAGCACTTCTCAGCCTAACACCAAGGTATAAGGGAGTCCCTGTGACCAGTCTCAGGGCCCTGCCCTTAGAAGCAGCAGACTCTTTGCCACACTCACCTTCTGTGACTTGACTTCCTCTGTGAGTGTCAGGATCTGTTGCTGTAGGACACTCACTTTGTCCATTGGGTTCCTCTCCCTGGACACTTCTTCAGGCAAGCCTGGTAAGCCACTGTTCATCCATCTGGCTTTCCTAACCCAGTTCATCCTTCCATCCTCCGGGATCCCCTCCTTAACTGAAGGGAAGTAGGGTTAATTTACACAGAATTGGGTTGCTACTATGAACTCCTGAGTCTTCCTATGGGGGGGGGGCTCACAACAGCTCAGCAGAGAAGACTAACACACAGGACAAGGAAAATTGACCTGCTGGGATCCACAGAGTTGAAGCACAGACAGTAGGGATCAGCCACAGGTACCCCCAGAATAAACAAACCCATGATGTTTTATGGTACCTGTTAACCCAGCTGGCACCCCACCCATCTATCTTGCACACAGCAATTGCAAGTTACCATTGCAAAGAGGTAACCTCCCAAGCATGCAGTGGAGCTGCTAAGCTCAGCCTGTGACCATGCAGCAATTTAACTTCTACCTCAAAGAAATACCAGTACGGGCTGGCACCATAGATGGTATTTTTGCCTCTGCAGAAGGTTCCAGAGATAGGAGATAGACAGATGCAGCCTGAAGCAGAGCCAAAAGAATCAGTCTTGTGCCAATAACACAGGAAGGGACCTAAGACAATGTGATAGAGTTTTCATGTCTCATGACAACTTGCCATCCTCTCCTTCCCTTTCCTACCTACTCCCTGCTAGAAGGCATCATACTCAGACCAGCTCACACAGCTCAGTCACAAGCACCTGCACACCCTGCCTCCACTTCTGCTTCTTGCTCCTCATCTGGGTTCTCAGGATGCTGCTGGAATTCACTGAAGCTAAAGACGTTCCCGTTGTTCCCCCAGAGCTGCTTGGAGCCACAGATATTGTAGACAGTGTTTCTAAAACAAGAAGAGATCAAGATAGCCTAGTTAACAGAAGTCATGATCACTGCAGTCAGTGCATATTCAAATTATTCAACGCCTTACCTCCTCTCATATCCCACCCCTCCTCCCAAAACCTACCTCCTTCATGTGCTGAGAAAATGAACTGTTCACGGCACTGGTGGATCTGAGGGGAGCAAGGCTGTAACTGAGGTAAATCAGGAAGGTGCCACAAAATCAGTACCAGAAATGTAAATCAGCTGGACATCTTTCCCCACGTGCTTGAGCCCTGTATATAAATGCATCAGGCTGGACAGAGGGATCAAAGGTAACAGTAGACCAACCATGTTGCTCCCTTCTTCCCTTTTCTTAGCTCGCTGTGGAAATCCCCAGTTGCCAAGAAAAGCTCAACTATCTACAGCACAGCCAAAACTCACAAGGATCACATCTGAAGCAGCCATAGGTCCTGTGCTCTGAACCACATTTAATAATCTTGCCACAACAAACTCAATAGACTTTGATGCAGTAAAGAGATTCAGGAACAAAACTGCAATCAGACAGAGAACCAGTTTGTTACAGCTGCTGCTATCAGATATTGCCAGAAGCACTAAGAGTTGACTTTAAGCATCATGCAGGACCACAAATGCACAACTATTTTCTGTAAAACCTATGCAGGAAAGTGAGACAGTTGCCTATCTCTATACAGGTCTTTTCCCTCCTCCTCTTGTGTTGTCCATTGGCTAAAATAAAACAAGCTCCTTGTTTTGAGATCTACAAAAGACTCGGCGTCAGCTACTTCCTAACTGTATATGAAGTTGGCATTTAGATTTTGTTCTCCTTTTGCCTTGTTACTGTAAAGCTCCACAGCAGAAAAGCAGACATTTCTGACCTCAGGGAACATATAAGCACATAAGATCAACAGACCTTCATTCCTTGTAGTCTGCAGTTGGCATTCATCCAATGCAGCTTTCCTCGTTTTCTCTACCTTATGCTGTACTTTGTTTTTCCTCTGAGACATCAGCAGCTCAGGGATCTGATGAACTTAGCTGAAATCAGACACGCTACACTCATGAAGACCCAGCCTGATAGTAACAGAGCCTGAAGAAATGTTCACAGAACCAGGGGAGCAATACAATTTGAAGCTGGAAAAAGGCAATTGTTATTCAAGCTAGCAAAAGCAACACTGGGGAGGGGGGAGGAGAGATGATCATATTATTTTGTAATCAAAGGGAGGAGGAAAGAATGCATAGTCTGCAAAATAGTACAGCTGACGCTGATCCTCTTTGGTCCATGGTGGATCTTTCTTCCTATCGGCATCGGATTGTAGCCACAGTAGTGGTAGTAAAAAACTACAGCCAACCTCACCACCAAAAACATTTGGCAGGTGCCACGCTACTTACCACACTTGTGGCCACTTACACATTTTTGGTTATATGTAAATAAGTGACTAGGACATACTTATGAGATATTGATGGGGGTTGTCTTTGTGCAATTGTAACTGCCCAAGGCTTGTAACTTGTAGCCCAGACGGAGCTACATGTTGCAACTGCAGATAGCAGCATCTTGTAGGCAGTGGGAATATTCACATACTTGAAACTCAGCGAGGAGTAGCAAGCTGTGCAGTGTCAGGCCATATTACAGGCTCAAGCACCTTTTACTTGGAGTTCCTGCTTTAGAGAGTGCACTACATTCAATGTTCTCTGAAACCACTGGAAAGTGCTTGTGGGCTTCTATCGCTAGCCTACAGAGTACAGCTCAACCTGCCCATGTGCCCTTCCAAGAGGGATGTGCAGATGCATCGCAGCAGGCGTGCAAACTACTACCTATACTGAAGAAAGCTTAACCAGGCTCTAGGTCTGCCACTAGGATCTTTGCTAAGAGAGCTAGGTGATGTGAAATGCATTGGAACAGGGGGATGTGAAAGACCCTCTGGCAGGAAGTTTACTTTCGCCTGGAACATCCTTCAAAAAGCTGCTTCACAATTCTTCTACTTAGGCAAGAGTCCCATTTCACGCAATAGGTGACAGGCAAGGAAGGCACAAAGTGGCAGGCCAGCACAATAACTGTACTGCAGCTCTCCTCATGCACTTACTGTATCTCTGTCCAAGGGTGCTTAAGTGAGATGTTCTGCAAAGCAGTAGATGTTTGGGGTGCAGGCAGAGACGCTGCCTTTAAACCCACTGCTTCTGTTGGTGTTTTCACCGGAGGCAGAAAGTCTTCATTGTCAACAACATCTATGTGAAAACAAACCAGGACACAGAAGCAAGTGAACAAGACAGAATTCCATTGGACTTTGGCTCCTTCATGTAATTTGAGAGCTGTACATTTTACTACAGGTATACATTCCATGTTCAACTGGTCAGGTGGAACAGGGACAGCAGAACAGGTGTCCTTAGTTTTAGGTCAGATTACGGAAGGTTCTATGTACAAATAGAGTCATTTATTCATGGACAATCAAGTGACTTCAACCATTTGTATATGAGAATGACTAATCCTAAACAATCAAACTTTAACAACCTAAAGGAATAAGGAAGGGAGCTGTTGCTGTTCTTTTCCCCCACCCCAAACAGTGTTTGATAGTTTTAATGTGCAGATAACACTCCACAAACACAGTTTGTTACCCAATCATTGCCTGCTGTAGCAAAATGCCAAAGTACCCAGAACCTTTTAGAGCAGACACTTACTAGGGAGAGGGTTATTGTTTCAAACAAAGTGTACATCTAGTCATAACTAAACAGGTGGACACACTGCTTGTGCCCTCCCTGACCCACCAGCCTGTGTACTCCCGCTGCTAGTAATGCACACCTTAATCCCACCACCGCTGAAAAAAACTTGCTTGCTGTAGATTTCACAGGCCTCGCAAGAGGAAGGGGATATACCACGTGTACACACTTCACATGCAAGAGGAAATTCAAGAGGAAATTCACGATCATAACATACCTGAGCATCTCCAACCACATGCTGTGGATTAGGAGACAGCCCATTCACATTCATCCATAATAAAGCCATAAGTTCCAAACATCAACCAAGCATTGATAGTTGGCACCTGCATTTAAAAACCTGGCCAAAACTTCTGCCCACTTACAGATGAGGAGCACCATTCATCACTGGGGGGGCGAAAGCAAAAGAAAGGCTGACATATGCGACACCTACTTGTTCTGCCAGTCAGAGGTTCATTCACAAGCTGGGAGCTGCCCACAGGAAATCTGCTCTGAGCGTTGCAAAATTCCCAACGTCTCATTTGTAGCTGCTGCAGCCAGTACATCATTGCCTGTTTGCTGATTGCCTAACATAACACAAAACAGGAAAGGGAGGGAAGTAATCTCATCAGCATGAGACACATCCTGAAGAACTGACCACAACTTTGCTGCCCAAGTCAGCAGAAATAAAGGCCAGCTGTGTCAAGCCTACGCTATATCCTCTGGTCCTAACACTGATTTGGGAGGACAGAGTAAATCTTAAGCACGGCCTTAGTAACAGAACCTCAGTGGACCACGGACCTCATCTTAAACTTTAAACAATTTTAAACATTACTACGCTCCAAGGCTAAGCAGAAATGCCATGATTATTTTACCAGGAATCACCCACAGAGCTTCTTAATAGCAATCTTCATAGAGATAAAAATCTAGCAAAGGTTCCTGCTGGAGCAACCATTTTAGACAGGGGAGCTCATTTCTATTCAGCAAATTACATGTGGACTGCAGAACTCCTCAATGATTTTAATTCAGCACCCAGTTCGGCTTTTACTCCTATTCTGTTAAACAGGGGCCATCTCACAAGTAATAGAGGCCCAGTCTTGCCAAAACAATGCATGTAATTTAGGTCCAAATGGTAACAGTCCAGGCTGGGAGGACGAAAGTGAAACTCAGCTAAGAGGTATCTTAGCAGCAACGTGTCCGTCCTGATTGGAAATGTTTCGTAACAGCTCCCACAAGAAGATGCTGCCCCTTACCTTCAAAGTAAAAACTCTGCTTGGTGTTCTGATCTCAAAAACCCCTTCCCCATTTTCTGCCTTGCAGTCAAAGCTGGCGCTGGAGAGATCAATAGACCCCAAAGGGTTGATGTCCTGTGCAGTTCTGTAGTATAGTAAATGACATTTGTTTTCATCGTAAAAAAACCAGCGAGACTTCCAGGTCTTAATTGGCCCCTTGATGCCCAGCTTATTTAAATAGCCACAGAGTTTTTTTCTGGATGTTTCTCTGCTGGGTTTCAGCTGTACATTTTCCAGTTCTCCAGAAGAGGAAAGCATGTCTTTCTCTTTCACCGAGGCTCCATTGCTGCTGTTATTGTCTGGATTTGACTCCACTAAATTGCCTGGAGCGGCAAGGGGACAAGCTCCGCTTTCTGGTCCTTTTTTCATCTCTTTCAGGAAATACGCTCAGAATCAGATTGAAACAGGAAATTCTCCAGGTAAATAAGCAACAGCAGATGCCAACTATATCATCATTGTTGTAGAACCTGCAGCAAATGAAAAAAGAGGAATAAGCTGAAGCCTGGCACACAACAAAAAACACTCCCTAGCTTTCAAACTGCCCAGCAAGATCTCTGACTTCTACTTTTGGTCATTGCTCCCTGCCTTCCTCAGCTCAGATGACCTCTATATGTCTGTTTTCTCCCTTTTCCATTCCTAAATTAGCCTGGACTAGCAGACAAGGAGCAGTACCACAATCTCTTGAGTAAAAAATAAGTACAGTCTGTGGGCATACCAAATCAATAGCAATAACCAGGGCATTTGGAGCCATAGACAACAAAGTTAAGTAACAGTTGCAGAAAACATGGCAAGATAACAAGCTCAGGGAGGAGGGACACATAGTCCAGTCAAGGGATTTCAGGTAAGTGTATCCCGGCATTTCCACTGAATTTTCAGCTAATATTTTAAACCATGGTGTCTGGAGAAAAAATCCAGGCTTATGCAGCATCTTTATAAATCATTTGTGTCAGTTGAGGATTTCTGTTAAAAAGCCTGTATGCCATGTGGTAGGTCTCCATCCAGCAGGCCTCATATGATGGACTATGCACCAGAGAGAGTAATTCTGTGATCCTTGCAAAAGAGACTTGGTTGCTCAACAGCCAAAGTAACCTGCTGTGTTCCCAAGAGGAACACAATGTGCAAGAGAAACAGAAAAATAAGGCTAGAAGGGATCTGTGGAGATCTCTAGACCAACTTCCCTCTCAAAGAAGGGGCCTACTTCAAAGCTGTAGTCAGCTACTCAGGTCCACTTTCAGATGAATTTTGATCATACACAAGGATGGCAATTCTGCCGCATTTCTGGGCACTTTTTCAAGTGCTTAACCATATGGCAGGTGTGATTTTTGCTCAGAGCTGCAGACACACATGGCCCTTGTATAAAGAAAGCTAACAATACTCCAGAAAAATACCTATAAATAATTTCTTGCATTTTTTCTTAAGTAAAAACATGGTTTAAAGATCAACAAATGTAAAGGCTACCAGAGACTTCAGTTCAGACACTAACGTATCTGAAGCAAATATGTAAGCAAATAAATTGTTGCAGTGTTAAGTTAGTGGGAATCCAACTGCAGACACAAAACTGTTGAACATGAAGCCAGCTGTGTGACAGCAGGAGAATGAGCACAGAGATTAATACAGTGGAGCACACAAGAGATGTTGCCCAAGCTCACGCTCTTAGGAACAACTTATCCTCATGACTGAAAGAAGCCTCAACCCATCCTAGTGCTGGCTAAGTCCCATCACACTTATTGCTCCCCTTTCCTGATCCCACATTAGCTTCTTAGACAACTATAGATAATATTCACTCTTTTTGGAAAGCTACTTAACTTCTTTTAGTTCACTCCCCTGACACCATGATCCTGCTGCTTAAACTCATTCACAAATGTCAGGAACAAGCACCCTTCATGAAAGTGCTGCCTCACCTAAGCTTCTGAAACACCCAAAAGCTTCATTTCCAAGCTAATTTTGCCTGGCACAAAGGAACCATCAGCAGGAGGAAGAAGCAGTCTCAACTCTCCCCAATAGACCCTGGGGCTTTTATGGCAGTACCAGCATAATGACCTCCTGTGCCATCTGAAGACTCCATCATACTTCTACATCTTGCCAGCACGATGGTCCACAGGCCCAGACTGTGAGCAGGACCAGCATTTTGGGTTCAAGCACCAAGCTATAAGGAGTCATAGCAGATCTGCATTACAAAGCACTCTAGAGGAGAAGATCTCACCTCCTTAAGAGAAGTGGAGAGATGCCCCTGGAAGTCACCGTCTGCTGGCATAGAGCTACTGCTGCAGGCACCACCAAGCAGGTAACCACAGCCTCCAAAACAAATCCAACAGCAACAGAAGAGGGGCCTCTGCCTCAAGTTTCCTTCAGTCCAGCCGCTGCCTGGGAACTGTCTGAAAGAGGTGTTTATCTGAAAGCAGCTCTGACACTGACTCACCAATGAAAAGAGAAGATCAGGGTGAACCCTTCACAGACCCTTCTGGGGCTGCTGGTGCGAGCAGCACAAAGCAGGCCCCCCGCCCCTCCCCCACCGCCGCAGAAGCACCTCCCAGCCCAGCTGCCCCGCGCCCGGGCACAAGCCAAGGCTGCTGGAGCCTGGCACGGGTCTGCGCTGCCCGGCGCCACTGGGGCCGGACCCTGGCACCACTTGTACCGCCCGGCCCGGGGCGGGGGGATCTCAGCACCGGGCTGGGGAGGGCATCCGGGCCGCTGGCCGGAGGATGGCGGCGGTGGGGTGGTGG